AACCCTAAACCTAAACCCTGAACCCTAAACCCTGAACCCTAAACCCTGAGGACGGGGATGTGCTCTCCTGCTGGTCTGGACTCTTGGGATTGTCATCAGTTTTATCTGTAATTTCGAATAGGGGCAACAGAAAAGAATATGCAAGCAAGTGCAGTTCGTGGTCGATGGTGGGCCACATGATTGACTACACGGTTCTCTTCGGTCCATCGCTGCATGGTTAGGCCACACGGTCGGCACCATTGGTGCCACGGGAACCGACGACAGGGACGGCGGGGAATGGCGTCGGGGCATGGCACGGGGGTAGGGTGCCACTCCGGGAAAAGACTCTCTCTCTTTCCCACACACAACACACGCACAGACTGTGTGCGTGTCTGTCGACGTCTGTACGTCGCACGCTGCCTGCAGGGGTTCTGCCGCGGCCGACCCGTCGCTTAGCCGCTGACTGCGCCGCTCACTCTCATTCGACGTTTGGTTTCTCTGTGCCCCGCTCGCCGTGGTCTGTCTGCCGCTGGCGCCGGCAATTGTTGTTGTTTCTGTTTTTTCTTTCCTCTTGTATGTCTATTGAACGGTTCTTTTGTATGTGTGCGCTCGAAATTCGTTACCGTTGGCAATAGCATCTGTGATTGCTTTTCCTCCGCCTAAATCTTCATCGGATGTACATGCGGTACTTATAACAACTGCACCCGAGCTCTGTGGGCCCTGCCCCATACCCGCCTTACATTTAGCCTCACCTGATGTGTCCGTTGATGCCGGTGCTCCTGCAACGCCCGTAGCACCGTGGTCTTCCGTTGCTCCTGCCTCTGCACCGCCTGATTTCCCTGAGGGAGGTGGGGTTGCCGCAGGTGGGGGTTGTGGTGTGGGTACTGTTGCTGATGTGACCCCGTTCTCTCCTGCTGAGTCATCTGATCGTGGTTGTACGCCAGATGTTGCTGGTCCTGATGTGCCGTCTGCTGATGGTGCCGAGGGCCTCGCCGCTTTCTGGTCTCCTCCGCCTGCTGCTGACGGTGTTGTGTCTGCAATGAGGACAACGGAAGAAAGATGATAAACAGATGATAAAAAAAAAAAACGACACAAGTGGTACAGAAAGAAGGGGCCGGGACGGTTGGGTCAGGTAACAGCAGGGTGGGGGTCCGGCTCGATGCAGTGGGTCGATGCAGTGGGTCGGCTGCATGGGTCGATGCAGTGGGTCGAGGTAGCCTCGGTGAACTGGGTCAGGCGACAGCACGCGTACGGTAAGGTGGACTGCTTACTCGGTGGACGGACGTGATAGCAGTACACTTTTATTTGTCGTCGTCATCGCGTCCGCGACCGCCGTCCCGCTGCATCCGTCGCCGTCACCGCTACCGTGGCCGTCGTCGCCGCACACTTCGGCTCAACGAAGGGACCGTGCTGTGCCGCCGTGCGTTTGTGTTGTTGTGGTGGCGGCATCCATACGGTACGTATTCGCCCGTATTCGTATTCTTACGGTTCCTTGCATCATTGTCCTGTGTCTTAAATTCCTTTTCTAATTCTTCCTGCACTTTCTTCTCTATCCTTTTAACTATTTCTCTTGCTTCCTTTTTTACCTCGTTCTTTACGGCCTCCACTTTCTTGTTCCCGTCCTCATCCTTAGCTGTAATTTTTCCATCCTTCCCTAGCTCTAGTTGATATTGCTCCCAATCTTTACTACACTCCATTCTTTCTTCTATCTGTGCTATTTCTCCCATTATTCCTCCCTGTATTAACCATTCTGCCATTTCCCCATTTATTATTCCTAGGGCCGTCTGTTTACCCTCATACCCACATTGTTTGCATCTTCCGTCAAAGACTGGACCAGTCAAGGCTTGTCCCCCATATTCGTTTGAGCCCGTTTGCGTCATTATTTCCCATGCATACTCTATACCTCTTTTCCACGATGGCTGCTTCTGACAATATCTTTCTTTCATGAGATGTCCAAAAGTAATTGCTAGCTCGCACCTTAACATATTCTCCGTTTCCTTATCCTTCTCACCTTCTCCTTCTTTATTGGCAAACCACAATGCAGTATTCATAAGTCTACATCTCATGACGTCTGCCACTCGCTGTCCCTTATGGGAATTATGCTGCTGCAAATCCTTCCAATATTTATTGTCACAGTTTGCACCCAAGTGTTCTATGTTTTCGTGGTTTCCTGTCATATAGTCCGCAAAACTGTTTAATACTTGTTCCACTTTTTGCTTCATTTCGCTCTGTATTTGGAATAGGAAAACAGGAAACAAATGTCTGAGTGTATATTCTACCTATACCCGTCTACTCTCGTGTACGTATATACTTATATATATAAACATACCTTTATTATAAATTCCCCTTCCACCCCTTTTATTCTCTTATCCCTTATCCTCTTCTGCTTCCTCCTTACTCTAACTTACATGATAACCGTGCTTTACGAATATTGCATTCTTCCTCTTCTCTAACGCGCTCTTCCAATCACACTCCACTGTTCCGGCCTTCCCCTTCGTCACGGTCTTCGTCGTCCCCGCTCCCGACGATGACGGCGTTGCCACCGGTTTCCCCTGTACTGGTTTGGGCTCGGAGGCGGGTGTGGCGGCGGCAGGCTGGACTGTCTGGTGCCCTGCCTTTAACATTTCATCTACTTTTTCTACTTCCTCCTTTATTTCCTGCACTACACCTTTAACTGCTTCAATTATTTTCTCCTCTTTCATTGCTTTCAAAAGTACCCTCTGGTTCCATGTGTCGTCGTCCTCATCGTTCCCCTTCGTCCACTTCGCCCTGTATTCAGCCCATGGCTTATTGCATACTGCAGGGTTCCCTTGTTTCCTCATCCTTTGTATTACATTTCTATTCCCAAGTAACGCACTCTTTATTGCTGATAGCTTGAACCTCTGCTCAGCATCTCTGTTTCCATATTGCTCATAGTTGCACGTCCCCTTTATCAAAGGGTTGTCGTGTCCTAATAATTGTCCCAGCTCTTTCATTGTGTACCATGCATACCTTAGTCCTCTGGTACTTGTTTTTCCACATTCCATTTCTTTCAATATTTCCTCAAAAACATTTATAACCATACATTTTAATTCTGATTCCTCGTCTTTACTAAGCGCAATTTTTCCATTTATACTTTGCCCTATGTACTTCTGAGGATCCATGAAGAATAATGCTCCGGTCATGATCGTACACCTTATCACGTTTGCAACCGATTGCCCTGCTTTGTGTGTGCGTTGGTAAGGTTCCCAACCAGCGTTAAAGCAATTTGCTCCATATAATTGTACATGTTCTTCTATCCTTTCCATATGATCTATAAAACTATACAATACTGTTTTTGTTTTATCCCACATATCCTTCTATAGGTTATGCATAAAGAAAAGAAATGGACGGAAAAATATGAACGCCTGCATCCTGTATGGAGTGCTAATAGTTGTTTACTAGTTCACGTAGAATTTACTCGCTCTTATACATGGATCCGTCGTGTGCCTTAAATATGTATGCACCCCACTGCTTAACCCCTCTATCTTCATTCCCCTTGTGGTCACCTCAACTTACATCATCCGCCATCGGCTTGTCTTTACTGTTTGTTTCTTGGTCTAGTGGTGATGGTGCGTATGGTCCCGGCTGCCTTGCTCAAAGACAATCCTCCTCCTGCTTACACTCGGACAATCCTTCGTCGAATCGGTCGTGCACGTGGCCGCGTTTGCTCGGAGACAATGGTCCGCCGTCGTGCACGCGGCCGCTTTGGTCGACGCGTGTGCTCGGAGACAATCCTTCGTCGAATCCTGCTTACTCCGGTACTTACCGGGCCACGTTGGTCGACGCGTGTGCTCGCAGAGACAATCTCTCCCTCCTTTCTTACACTCGGCACAATGCTTACTCGGCTACTTCGTTGAATCGTTCTTATACTCGGCTACTTCGTCGAATCCGTGTTGCTCCGGTAGTTACGCGGCCAGGTTTGCTCGCAAGAGCGGTGCTTACTCGGCCGCGTGGGTCGACGCGTCTGAGGGGCTGCGACGTCGAATACGCGGTGCACGGAGACCGATGGTGTGCGCGTAGGCCATATGCTGCAAGCGTGCAAATACAAAACCATGAACGGATGCAATCGCGTGTACGCCGAATATGACAAATAGTATGAGAGGTAGTGGAAAATAAAAGATGGATGCGCGCGCAGGTGCGAGATGCAGGCAATAGAATAATCGCGTGGAACGAACAACAGGCTGGAGTTCGAATGCAATAGCAGAAAGAACAGAAGCATGAAAATTGCGAATAGCGCGCAGAGTAGGCGTAGAATGCAAAAAAACAAAAAAACAACAAACCCACAGAGGCGTGCGATGCACGAAGAGAAATCGCGAAAAAAGCATAGCAAGGCCATGCAAGGGTAAGGATACGTGACAACAGTGAACAAAAGGGGGCTGCGCAGCAGTAGCATACACGAATGCATATGACAAAAGGCGAAAGCGTCGCCTAAACGTGGCGCGCAAATGAAGCATGCAGGAATGCATATGAAAAAGGCGACAGCGGCACAAGAGCAATGCGCACATGAAGCATGCAGGAAAAGCGAATGCAAAAGGGAATGAAAAAGGGATGCAGTACAAAGATAGCAAAGAAAGGAGGAAAACGGGGGGAAAACAACGGGAAAAAAGAGAAAAAAGGAAAAAAAGGAAAACAAAGAGAAAAAAAGAGAACAAGAGAAAAAAGGAGAAAAAAGGAAAAAAAGGAAAACAGGAAAAAAGGAAAAAAAGAGAAAAAAGGAGACAAAAAAAAAACAAAGAAATAAAATAAAATAAAAGAAAGGGCAAAAACAGGAAATATGAAAATGCGGGGCAGAAGAAAAAAGAACGACGGATATAAGCGCAAATGGAAAACGGAAGTAAAAAAGTAAAAGGCACCAAGGCAGGTGTAGAAACAAGAAAACAACAAAATCACCCAAAACAGGGAACATCGGCAGCACGAGGGTGATGAGAATAAAAAAAAAAAAAAAAAAAAA